TCGGCACTTCCTGAGAGCTGCCACGCTGATCCACTCCGACTTCAGCCAGCTTCCCACTGCCTCAGAGGTGATCGTTCGGTAAGCTGTGCTCAGCACTCCCTCCTCCTCCAGCCCCAGCAGTGCTGCATGGCACACGGAGGGGGCAGAAGAGGGGAGCCCCTCTCCCAGGGCTGGCACACGCTGTAGTCACACCGGTGTCTCTTGCCAAGGGGCACTCACGTCACCTTATTCCCTGAGGCTTGCTTTTTAGATACTTAACATTCTGCCCGTAGTGTGATCTGGATGTTGAGAGGCCAGAGTGCCGCCAAGGCCAGTGAAGGGAAGGCAGAGCTGGGTTGTGCCATGGGTTTGGATGAAGATACAGTGCTAGAATATTGCCAGTTCCTGGCACCATAAGGTTCTAAGGCGCAGTGTTAAATATAACTGCTCCTAATAAATGTGCGTCTCGGCTGGGAGCCAAAGGCACCCAGAATTGGCAACCTAGGTTTTGTTTTCTTGCATGGCTTGTTGGGTTGGAAACACGCCGTAACGTGCGTGGCAAACTCAATTGTAATGCACCAGGCAAGATGTTCTTATCGCAGCCACAGCCGAGCTCATGCTCCTGCTCTCCCCGCTCCGGTAGGTGATCCCGGGAGCACTGCTCTGTTGGGAACACAGAGATTCCGCTTGCTTGGCCGTGCCTGTTTGTCCAAAACATGATGAAATAAAGATGCTTCTGGGAATTACACTTTCACTTCCCCGACGCAGCTTGCCAAGGGAATGTGAATCATACGCTCAGTGCAGGAGATCTCCGTGCTTAGCATTAGTTTCACTGGCTCCTTAAATCCTCCACCAGCTAAGCTGGCGTATTCTGTGTTGCCCCAAAAAAAGCAACTCCATGTGTGAATCAGCCTGAGTAACAAGATGACTAAAACTGCTTGCTTTCATGGAGAGTTGTTACAGAAGGGTGTCAGCAAACATATCGGTTGCTGCTTTCCTCCATTGAGGGAATGGAGAGTCCCTTGCTTTGCTCCTTGCCAGCCCTCTTGCAGGTGAATACTGAGTAGCGGATTTCAGTTTCATGCTTATAGTATCTGACTATTGACTGAGCTTCATTAGGTGCAGCTAAAGAGCCTGTGCTGTGATTTGCTTGTGGGCAGCAGCAGCGAGACAGGTTCCTCCAGGAGAGAAGGGGTCTTAGGCACAAGGAGCACTTTACCTGCTATTGATGCACTGGGCTGCTCTGCCAGCAAGGGCAGAAGGTGGCCGTGTGCGTGGGTGTTAGTGCTGCTGAGGGGGTCACAGAGGATGTGACATAGGACACTTTAGGATGCCGGGTCTGGTTCCCTGTGCCCTCCTGCAAGGGTTTAGTGCCATTTTAGCTCTGTGTTCCTTTGTTGAGGACCTGAAAGTGCCTCTGCATAGCTGGGAGTCCAGTGTGCTGTGAGCATCCCAGTGCCCAGCCCAGCGAGCTGCGGTGGAGCTTGCACGGAGCTGTAAATCCTGAGGTGCCTCCTGTCCTGCCTGCAGGAACGCCGCCACGGCCGTGTACGCCTGCCGGAACCCCGTCCAGGAAACCTACTTCCAGCAGCTGGGTGCTCCCCTCCGCAACTCGGGCGTTCCCAACCCTCACGACAGCGCCTTCAGCCTGCCCAGCAAGGCCAAGCAGAAGCTGCTGAAGCACGGGGTGAACCTGCTCTGAACTGATGCACTGGGGCAGGTCTCGGCCCGTGTGGAAAGGTCGTTCAGCTCCAGTCAATAGGATCTCAAAGCCGTTTGCTCCAGGCTGTGTGCATGGGGTCTCCAGCCTGCCCTGCCCTGAGCATGGGGCACTCTCATTGCCCTGTGCTGGTGCAGGGTGGTATTGACATTAGTACTTACCAAAGCCTGAAGATAGACATTACCTGTGTTGAGGTGCGTGGTTTACATTGACTCTGGTTCTGTTCATGATGCTCTGCTGCCACGGGCAGAGACTCCTGGAGTGCCTTGACCTAAAGGAAAACCTCTTCTTGCTCTAAGCTACACAGACACTGTGCTATGGGGCAGTGGTCAGAGGCTGCCTCTGCCTGGAGATCTGTGCCTACTTGCCCTGGTCAGACTGGGGCTTTATTTATATCTTAATCCATAGAATTGCTCCCCTGCCTTACCTTGGTTAATGGAGCCTGCATGTTCTCAGATTAACTGGAATAGAACAAGTGCTGCAAAACTCATAACCCTCCTACAGGCACTGTCAGGAGGTTTTTATCCTGTAGCTGATCCTTGTCCCTCCTCACTGCCTGGCTGCTGATGGTGCAGCCCAGCACTGCCTGCCCTGCTGCCTCGTGCAGCTGTAGCCTGCCAGCCTCTCACAGGTCCATGGGGATGGTGGTATGAATCCTGCCCTCCTCCTCCCCTCCCTCCTCTTGTTTCACCTCCTGGCTCTCGCTGCTCAGTGTGTCTGTGCTCTGTTGACAGAGGGCAAGTGGGAGCTCCTTAAGCTAATGGGACCAAAGGGGGTTTCTGGCTCCTCAGCAGCTCTTCTCTTCCCGTGTCCCTGCCATGGCTGGTGATGGCTGCTTAGACCCGGGTGATGGACACCTGTGCCTATGCTGGTTCAGAGCCTGCCCTTACATACACATCACTGTGACAATAAAAGAGTCTTAAGACTCATCCAACCTCTGTGTGTCAGTGGCCAGAGTCCCACTTACTGCTGGGTTGTGTTGTGGCTCCTGGTGTGAGGGTTGGGGTTGAGTGACCCGTTCCTCCTGGTTCCTGTGCTGGTGGGGCTGAGCAGCAGCCCCGGTTGTTACAGGTGATACATGAGGAGTGCTGGAGGTCGGTGCCTTTATCGTGGTGAGAAGACTCGTGTGGAGTAAGCAGGGCACCCCCAGGAGCTGGCCCCAGCAGTCACCGTCCTCACAGCTTGTTCCACTGGGACAGTGGGGGATTCCTGAGGTAGCTCTGCTGCGGGGACAGGCAGGGACTCCGGGGGAAGAGCCGGCTGCCTGCTCAGGGCTGCCTGGGCAGGGATTGCCTCTGCCTTCCCCCCTGGCAGCGGAGGAGGTGTTTGAGCAGCAGGAATGCTCGTGACACTGCTCCTGCTGCTGCTTGCTCTGGATAACAGCAGTGTGGGTGGGAATGCGCCTTGGGAAGCCTGAGCTGCAGCCAGCCGGGAGCCCTCCTGCTGTGGTGATAGACAGTTGTGGACAAGCTGCTCTGGCTCTGGAGTGCAGCACAGAGAGGCACCGTGTAGGTGAGGGATGCGGAGGTGGGAGAAGGCAGGAGGGGAGATGCTTGTGTGCTGCAGCCGTCTTGCGATGCTCTGGGTTCCTCTGACGTCCTCCCCCACCTCCTTTCTGCCTGCTCAGCAGCCCCAGTCCAGGCTCCCTCAGTGATGCTCCCGAGGTGAGGTGAGGAAGCCCTAGGCTGCCAGGAGCAGGGAGGCAGCTCCGGGCTGCTCTGCTCCCCCAAGGGAGATCCTGCTGGCTCCTCGCTGGGTGTTGGGGAAGCGGTTGGGAGCTCCATTGGGAAACACGAAGAAGTTGAAGGAAAAGCCTGAGGGGGACAGGAGGGAGTTTTGGCACAGCAGCAAAGCACAAAATAGATGCTTTTGCCTGCTGTCAGGGATCTTCCACTACAATCTGCTGTGCCGTCTGTCGGCAGTGGAACAGCTGGGGCTGCTCTCTTCCCTTCCTGCTTCTTGAGCTGCATCTGGCCACCAGGACCTATTGCTGTCCTTTGTTAAGAGGAAAGTTGTCTTGGGGTAGGCCAGTGAAGAGTTCCAGGCCCTTGACTTAATGGTTGTATTGCAGAGTGGCTGTTTGAAACCGGCCCCATCGCAGCCTGGAGCTCCTGCCTTTCCGCTTTTCCAGGCATTTCTCCCCACCAGCTCCTGCTGAGCTGCAGGAGGAAGCAGGATCCAACCCCGCAGCGAGTGACTCGTTACAGCAGCAGGCAGAGCCCGGTCTGTTTTCAGCACAACTGTTTATTGATAATCTTTGCTTATCCACCACTGTATGAATGGTGCCAAACGCTGGGCCAGTGACCGGCTCCCGCAGGGTCTGGCACCGGGCAGTCGATGCGTGTAGAAATCATGCACGTCAGATAGTCTGTAACAGGACAGGTGTAAAAACCATCTCGGATGTATCTGAAATCTCTGCCTTATCCTGCATCCAATCGCTGAAAAACCTGTCCAGAAACCGTGCTGGGAAGGGGCTGTGTTCCCTCCCCGCAGGGTCCCTGGAGCCGCCTCCTGAGCAGAGGTGCAGGATGGGGTGAGCGTCACAGGCTGTGCTTCATGGGTGCTGTGTTATAAACCCTATGGTAGCTCCGTACCCCGAGAGCCCCAACCACACCCTGGGTGCTGGAGGCCTTTGGGAGAAGCGTGTTGGTTGTTGTGTGCGCAGGACACTGGGGCCTCTGCCTTTGGAAACCTTCCCTTTGCTGTCAGGTCTGTGTGAGCTGCCTCTGTACACTTGCCCTGGCTTGAGGAAAGAAGATGGAGCAGCAGAGGAAAGCTCATGTCTTTTCTTCCCTGGCCTTAGCCTATGGGAAACAAAAGCCCTGCGCCACATTCCAAACAGCATCCTGCCCAGCTCCAGCTGTGGCAGCCCAAGGTTGCAGATAAAGAGAGGAAGGGATTTCGGTAACCGATAACACCCTCGGTTCAGATTAAAGAGCAGGAAGAAGAGGAAGCAGGAGCCCTTGGGATCATGGTGCAGGAGCTCTCTGTGGGCAGAGCACTGCCTCACCCACCCCAACGGAGCAGCCCCTGCCTTGGGGAATGCATTATGACCCCTATAGCCCCCAGCATCTGTCCATCCATGGAGGGACTGTGACCAAGCCAGGGCTGGGCTGCTGTCCGGGGGGGTGTGTGTGTGCGTTTGTTGGGTTTTTGGTTGATGGCCACGAGAAGTTTTACATCATCACATTCAAACGAACACCCTTGGCTTTGTTACTCTACTTCTGAACACCGCAAAACACAGTAGCAACGGAACACGCAGGGGAGTGGTGCTGCAGCTGAACCACGGAGGGAAGGCGAAAAGAATCCCTGAAGCCGATGATGGAGGGGAGGGATGGGCACGGGGACACGTCGCGGTTTCCATTTACAAGAGCCCGGACCCGAGGCCGTGCGCCGGGAGGCAGCTCCCGTCTGGTGCCGGCGCCGAGCTGGCCCGGCCGCCCTTGAACCCAGAGCCCCGGCCAGCGCCATCATCGTCCCGGCGCGAAGATGAAGTCGAGGGCTTGGCGCTCAGCGGCGGCCACGTTGGGGTGCCACAGGTCCACCATGAAGATCACGCGGGGACCCTCCTCGGGGGGACCTGGGAGGGAAACACACGGTGAGGCTGTGCTCCGGCTGCCGTGGGATGATGCTCGCCCTGGCACAAGGGTGATGGGCTCCGTGCTGGGAGGCTGCTGCTTGTACCCGGAGCGTGTGCTAGTACAGGGCCAGGTCCCAGTAAACACCTGAACCGCTGCTTACTGGGAGCCCAGCGCCTCCAGCACAGGGTCAGGGCCTCCTGGCAGAGCTCTGGGCAATCAGACCCGGAGGTTTCCCGTCGCAGGCAGGATGCTGAGCTCGCCCTCCTCACAACTGCATCTCAGAGCCCTGCAGGGAGCTGCTGCTGCGCTGTTCCAGCCTTCCCAGCCCCACGGCTCTGCACTGAGCAGCGCTTCCCAGTCCCACAGCAGGGCTGATGTGGGAGCCACAGCTTCTGTTCTCCCCCTCTCTCCACACGCAGGCTCCCCTGCGCAGAGCAGCTCCGCCGGAGGCTGTTTGCGCCATCAGCCGCTAATGCCGGTTAATCCGGGAGAGCTGGAGCGGAACGGGCTCTGTCAGTGATGGGAGAGGCGGAACAGGCTGCCGGGAAGCTGCTCTCCCTGCACAGGAGACAAAGGCACCGCGGGCACGTCAGTGCTGGGCTGATGCAGCTGTGGGAATGCTCTGAGGATGCTGCAGCTGCAGCACCGGAGCCTGAGCTGCACTGCCCAGCCCTGGAGGACCACAAGGAGAGCGTTGCTGCTCCCCAGCCCCGGCACGGCACCGGCGCAGGGCACCGTGATTCCCCTTGGGGTTCACTTACCCTCATGGAACGCCGTGTGCAGGAAGGAGTCATCAAAGAGCAGGCAGCGGCCCTCGGCCCAGCACTGGGGCTCGCCCCCCACCACCAGCTCGCAGTTACTGGGTGTCTTCAGACCTTGGTGCACACAGAGAGAGGACAGGGTCAGGGCGGGCTCCCTGCGATGAGGAGCAGCCCTGGAATGGGAACAGGGAGCTCCATTGCAACCCCCGCGTGGGGAAGAGGCTCTCCATGGGCAGGACAACCTGGGAAATCAATGGGTCTGTCCCTAAAAGCACGAGTGCAACCCAGGCCAGCCTGAGGGCTGATCCCATCACCCTGCAGCACCGGGGGCTCTGGAGCTGGTGCAGTCACCCTGCCCCAGGGATGCTGCCATGGTGGAGAAAGGGGTCAGAGCTCACGTGAATCATAACTGGTAACAACACAGCAGGAACGGATCTCAAAGGGATGCCAAAGCCCAGCGAGCGCAGCAGGGGCTCAGCCTGCCTGGGAGAGCTGGGAGCACAGAAGCTGCTCTGCTTTCCTCATGGATGCTTCAAAGCCGTCAAACACCAAAGCCTTTTCCCTGCACAATGGCCTCAGCTGGAGATGCTCCAGCTGGAAAGGAGGAGCCGAGCCTGCAGCCTTCCATGGCACCCGTGCCTGGGGGATGCTGCCCGGCCCTTGGAGCGGCAGAGCTGGTGCCTGAGCATGGCCCAGTGCATTCAGCAGCAGTCACAGGGTTGGAGCGAACCCTGCAGAGGCCCTTGCCCACACTGATGGATGCTCTAGCCCTGCAGAGCGAGCTGGCATCAGAGGCCAGGTTGTCTCCGAAATGCATCCGTGTCCTGGGCACCGCAAGAGCTGATCCCAGCACTGAGATGGGGATGTCAGCGTGCCCCAGGCACGGTGCTGTGTCCTGGCTGGAGCTGGAAAACATGGAAGGACAAGGGGATGATCCGCATTGCTCATCTCCCCAGGTCATGCTGCTCCAGCCCTAGAGCTGATCCCAGTCCCGTGCTGCTGCCGGGGCAGGTCTGAGCCATTGGTCCCCCCCAGGAACCGCTCCCAGCCCCTTTCAAAGGGGACGCATGTCCCCAGCGCCCCAGAGCGAGGGCAGAGCCAGTGTCCAGGTCCCCAGGCCTGGAACGCTCCTCGGATCCGCTCTCCAGGCTGCTTCCCATTGTGGATAAATGGGCAGTCGCTGCCGGAGCGTGTTTACCCAGGAGCTGGCTGTGCCGCGGTCGGTGTTTGCCAGCAGGGCCCGTGCGGTGCCTCCCCCGGCACGCTCTGTGCCGGTTCCAGTCCTGCCATCTGTGCCTGCAGGAGCTCCCAGCCCGGTGCCACCATCCAGCGCCCAGCACCCGGGGGGATACCCCGGGACTCCCCATCTGGATCCGCACCAAAGCAGGATCTTTGCTCACATCTCCCGGGGAGCACCCGCAATCCCAAGACCCCTGAATCTCGCAGCAGCAAGAGCCCCAGTTGGCAGGAGGAGGAGCTGAAACGCTCACAGGGCTGAGCCGGGCACCCTGGGGAGGTCGGGCACTGAGCACCCCCCTCTGCTAGGGAGGATGCTGCTGCCCAAGCCCCAAACTGCCCTCAGGCCAAAGCACAGCAAACCTGAGCTCCTCCTGGGGATGCAATTAGTGGCCCCCTTAAGGGAAAAGCTGGAGAGGGGCTTTGGACAAGGGCCTGTAGGGACAGGCCACGGGGAACGGCTTTAACCTGCCAGAGGGGAGACTGAGATGAGCTCTTAGGCAGAAGCTCTTCCCTGGGAGGGTGCTGAGGCGCTGGCACAGGGTGCCCAGAGAAGCTGTGGCTGCCCCATCCCTGGCAGTGTTCAAGGCCAGGTTGGACACAGGGGCTTGGAGCAAGCTGCTCCAGTGGAAGGGGTCCCTGCCCGGGGCAGGGGTTGGAGCTGGGTGAGCTTTAAGGTCCCTTCCACCCAAACCATGGGATTCCGCGATCTCAGGGTACCAGAGGCCTTTCTGGGATCTGGGCACCCCCCGCACCACTGGGGGCAGGATGACCCCCGCCGGGCACTCACCGAGGTGGCAGCGGATGCGGATGTTGGTGGGCCCGTAGTGCTCGGCGATGACGGTGCCCGGGCTCAGCACGGAGATGCACGCGTTCCCAAAGACGTTGTTGCCAATGCAGGTGCGAAGGCTCCCGAGCAAGCGGTACGTCCGTGGGCATCTCCTGCAGTTCCTGGGCACGCACATGCCCTGGTTCACCAGGTAGAAGGTGAACCACTCCCCGCTGGCCGTGCTGTTCATTTTCCATCCTTGCGGGAGGCTGCAGTTTGAGAAAGCTTTGTAGAGGGTCTCAAACTCGCACAGGATGGTCTGGAAGTTGCGCTCCAGCAACTCCACGTCGTGCTTTTGAGCGTCCCGGGAGAAGTAGGGCATGGTGGGCAAGTCCGGCAGGAAGAAGACCTCAGGCTTCTGGATGGAGGGCCGGCTGTTGAGGTAGCGGCCCTGCTCGCGGATGCCCTTGTGGATCCTGCCCATGCCGGACCAGGAGTAGCGCTTGGCGTACTCCTGCAGGTTGTGGTAGAGTTTCTGGTTGAGGCCGTCGTGGTGCGTGCAGCGCGCGCACTCGGGCGCGTGGCAGAACACGAACCCGTTCTGCACGCCGTTGGCCTCGGCGCTCTGCATCAGGGCGTTGACGGTGGCGTAGGCGCGGGGCTGCTCCCGCCCCACGTGGTAGCAGTACCACAGGAAGAGCACCAGCAGGCAGGCGACGGCGGCCAGGGCCGTGGCGTCGCAGTCCCGGAAGGACTGGATGCCGGTGGCGATGAAATCCCTGAGCCCGTCCAGGGACCAGCTCCAGTCCAGCAGCCACTCCATGGACATGGTGGTGCGGCGGCGCGCGGCGCTCAGAGCTCGAGGGCCTCAGGGGCACCCACACGGTGCAGCGGCGCCGGGGCTGCCATGGGGCAGCGGGAGCCCGGCATGGGCAGCAGCAGCAGCAGCAGCGCCAGGGAAAGCCCAGGGGGTCAGCAGTGATGTGCCGGGAGGGTCCCCACCGGTGCTCCTGGCACCATCATCCTGAGGGAGGCTCTGGGGAGAGAAACCCGGAGGAGTCAGGGAGGCAGCTTCCCCCCGGCGACCCTGCAGCCGGGGCACCGGTTCCTGTGGGGGATGATGGATAAGGAACCCAAGAGCCCAACGTCAGCCCATGCTGAGAAACCCCCATCCCTCCCAACAGCATCCTCCACAAATACCCAAATGGAAAATAAGGGGGAAGATCTTTCTCACCCCTCGCTCCCACCACCCCTGGGCAATGATGTCTCCTCCTGCTCTCCCCAGTTTCCCTCCTCCATTCCTGCCTTATCAAATCTGAAACCTGGCTGAGGAGGCAGCAGGGCAAAGCTGGGAACAGACACTTCAGAGCCCTATGGAGCAGCACATCAGTTTATCTCCTTGATCTAAATGCGCTGAAGTGATTCTCCCTCCAGAGACCGAGCTGACAGCCCTGAGGTGGGATGCAGGAGCCCAGGCTTGGCCAGCGGGATGAGGGCACTCGGGGACACGGGAGCCCAGGCAAAAGATGCTCCAGCTCCTCAAACCCACGACTGATGTTTGCTCACCCCATGCTCCATCCCTGGGCATCTCAGAGCAGCCAGAGAGGAGGCAAAGAGGGGGTGAGGAATGGAAGGGAAACACAGACCCGGTTGGGAACATGCTGGGAGCTACCCTGACCTTCAGTGTGCTGCCAGCACCAGAGGAGAGCCCTGTGATCACTGCTGTGCAGCAGCTGAAGCAGCTGAACACGGGTCAGGTCTGCACACAGAGCAGATGCTCAGGCTGGGCATCGTGGAGGGTCACAACCTGCCCCAGAGCACTGAACGCAGGGTGAGGGACAAGGGCTCCCATCCAGTTCCTGTGTGTGCTAGTGCTGTGCCAGGCAGGGCAGGGGGATGCAGCCTGACAGGAGCTGCAGAGCAAACAGCTCCCATCTGAGCAACACAAGGATGATACAGGTAGGGGGGAGGGAGATGCCGTGGGAGCTCATTGGTGGGAGCACTGATTGGAGGAGTAGGATGGGTTTATTAGCAGGGAAGGAAGGCAAATACCATCCAACCGCTCCCAGCTGAGGTCCTGCAGCCTGTTAATGACCGTGCATCTCCCTGCTGCTGGCCATGGTGATGTGCTTCAGCTTGTGGAGCTTTGGCTGGGACCTGCCCCTGCTGCTGTGGACCTGGTGCAGGGCTGGGTGCAAGGCTTGGGGCAGTTTTACACCCACAGTAACCTCCCTCCATCCATTCCTTGCAGCGCGCTGCCTGGTGCCCCATCCCGGGATCAGCAATCCACGTGGCGTTCACAGCCTCCCGGGAATGTTAAGGTAACTTCCCCCCATCCCTACAGACACGTCGCTTTCTCCAGCCCAGGCCTTGGCTCCCAGGGTGCAGCCAGACCCAGGGGTATTCCCTAAGGCCGGCACAATCCCTCCCTGCTCCTTGGTAGTGCCAGAGCATGCCTGGGAATGCTGGCAGAGCCCTGCCACGATCTGTATTCAGGGTGGCTCTCACCCTGACAGCAGCAGCCCAGCAGCCAGGCTCCTTCAGAAGCCGACTGATGAAGCCAATGTACAGGGAGCAGAGCTGGGGGGAGTCCCACAGCCTCGGGGTCCCCTAGAAGGGTGGCACGGCACAAACACAGCCCCACTGCTTCCCAGGGCTGCTGCCAGCACCTCAAAGGGGCAGAACGAGGGGGAGACGACGAGAGCAGTCAGAGATGTGAGCCCCTGTGCCTGCGTGCAGCTGCCTGGCCCTGAGCCTGGCAGCCAGGATCTGCACAGGGATGCTTCGTGCAGAGCCTCCCTTCGGGACGCAGCCACCTCCTGCACTGGCACAGGCAGCCCTGGGGCAACCCTGCCCCAACCCACCTTCCACAGGGCAGGGTCCCGAGCGCCAGCGCCGGGTGGGTGCTGCATGGCCAGGACCTGCTGCTGAGTGGCTTGATGCTGTCACCCTGCACCGAGGCAGGCAGTGACCCCGGCACCCCCGGTCTGAGACCAGAGGAAAGGCTCGTAAGAGCCGGCGGAGCCAGCCCGGGAGAGTGGAATCGATTCCAGGCTGCACTGAAGTTGTGCAGGACGTGGAGGCGAGCACCGTGCCAGGCAGCAGCGCCGTTACATAATGAAGGCACAGAGGCTTCGATGCAGCAGAAGTTGCACCTCGGTGGCTCCGTGGGGACCCCGGCATCGCCCGGGGCAAGCGGGCTCCGCTCAGCACGGCCGGGCTCCCCAGGCCGTGGGCCCCGTGCTGACGGGGATGTGCGATGGGGACGCGTGGCGGGGTGTCCTCGGCTTGGCATCGCCTTCGGGAGCAGCACCGGAGCCTCCTCGGGGCGCTGGGGTGCCGGCCGCCGCTCCGGAGCGGGCTTCGCCCCTTCCCCACGGGGCCACCCCGGCGGTGGCGCCGGCGCCGGTCTCATCACCCATGGTGGCACCAGCGCGTGGCAGCGGTGCGGCAGCGCTGCCCGGGGTGCGGGTGTCCCGCGTGTCACGCAGCGGGCGGGGGGCAGCCGCAACCCCGCTGGGGCCCTGAGCAGCCCCCCCCGGGCCCGGCCGGGCTGAGTCCCCCCCGCGGGCACCGCTCCCGCCCCGCCGCACGCTCCCGCTCCCCCCCCCCCCCTCCCTCCGTTCGTGCCCCGCACCGTGCGCTGCGCTGCGGTACCGACCTGCAGCCCGCACCGCGGGGCCGCCGCGCCGCTCCCCGCCGCTCCGCTCCGCTCCCGCCGCCGCGGACCACAACTCCCATCAGCCCGGGCAGGAGGGACCGCGCCGGGCCGGCAGCCTGCGGGCCCCGGCCGAGGCACCGCCCGCCCGCCCGCCCCTCGCCGCGGCCTCGGGGCGGCGCGGCGCGCCCCCGCACCGCGCGGGAGCGGCGGGGTTGCGGCACCCGGGTGGGGGTCCCGGGGATGGAGCGGCGGGAGGCGGGCGCGGTGCTGGTACCCGGGGGAGCATCCGCCCGGCTGCGGCCCCCCGGGATCGGCACACGGGCAGAGGCACCCCGGGGTGCAGCCGGACGTGCGGGGAGAGCCGGGTCCAGGGGTGCAGCACCGGGGGCTGCAGAGTCGGGTTGCAAGGGGTGCGGGCCCCAGGGGTGGGAGCTCGCAGGGATGCAGGCACGCAGCATCCTGCCTCCGGGGACACGGACTGTTAGGGATGCGGCAGTTGGGATGTGCAGGATGTTGGCTTCAGAGATGCAGGTGTCCAGGGATGCAGGGAGTGCTGGCGGCAGAGACACAGGCACGGGGGTAATGCAGCACCCAGGGTACTGCTTCCCGAGGATGCGTGTGTCTGGTTGCAGGGGACAGGAGCAGCCAGGGTGTGCCTCAGCGAGGGTGTGATTTAGCGATTTGTGGTGTCCCTGAAGAACTCTTTAAATGCTGGTGGAGGCACAGTTCGTTGTGAGCCTTTCTGCTTCCTGCTGGCTTTTTTCTTCCCCAATCCATTTCCCGTTCACCTAAGCGAGTACTGTTAAATCCAGGAGCCCTGGTTAAATCCTTCCCAGTGTTAGATAAGCTGCCGTGCGTGTGTTTGCTCTGGAGCAACCTTGTCCCCAGTGACTGCAGACCGAAAGTGTGCCTTGGTTTCTGTCCTGGCACATTTTTGCCTCCTGTCTGCTCCTGGTGGTTCCCTGTGATCCCACGAGCACATTCCCTGTGCCAGCCCCCCTCAGTTTGCTCCTGCAGGGTCCTGGCAGCATCACACGTTGCAGGGTGAAGGGAGGGTGAGTTTATTCCCTCCTGCTCTTTCCCAGGCCCCAGCCCACACCTCCTGCTCTTGGCAGGCAGTGCATCCTTCTGTCACCGAGTCTGCTGGCTCTCAGTGCTGGGCCTCTCCCATTCTTTCTCCCCTCCATCTGCCTTCTGCTCTCTGCCCGCCGTTGGGCCCCTCCAGGCCCTGGGCCTCAGCTCTGCTTCTCCTCCTTTGTCTGCAGGATGAGCTGCCCTTGTCTTTCCTCTACCTTTAGGATGTTGCTTGGTCCTCTTCCTCCTGGGGCTGGATGGCTCAGCTGGGGTCCCCTGGAGCACCCACTCACAGCACCCATGGGGTGGCTGCAGGATGGAGCTGTGAGCCCCGCTCCCCTGTACCTGGGCACCAGGAAGGTCACTGGGCTCAAGGCAGGACAAGGGTCTGGCAGGGGCCAGTTGGGTATGGATAACAGGCACAGGAGCCACCCCATGGCAGAAGGGCTGGGAACAGCCCTGGGGTGCTCTTGGCACAGCTCTGCAGGTTCCTTCTCCCTTTCCCTGGGATATTCTCCTGGGGCAGGCACGAGCCTGTGTCCTCCTGAGCCGCTGCCAGGATGCAGCTGCAGCCAAACATAAGCTGCTTGTGCCAGGGCAGGGTTTCCCGGAGTGTTCAGGTTGGAGCAGGGACGTGTTCCCGGAGGGGCCCTCCTTGTGCTCCCCGAGCCGAGATCAGCATCATGCAGGCTCCTGCTCCCTGAGTCCCCTCCAGACCAGCCTGTGCCCAGGCCATGGGTGGGATGCTGAGCATGGGTGCATGGCTCAGCCCTGCCTCCCCCCCCTCCCCTCCTCAGCATTCCTGGCCCTGAGCATTGCTCCTCCACAGCCCAGCCCCGAGTCCCTGCTCTTTGCTCTTTAATCATACTCCATGCTGCTGCTGCTCTGATGCTGCACAGAAAGACGCCAGCACCGCCTCAGGGCTCTGTCACCGCTGGCACCAGTGACTGTGGGTACCCCACAGCCGGTTCCTGCCTCCAGCACTGAGCAAAGCCCATAGCAGAGCTGGGGCTGGGGTCAGCTGCTCTCCCAGCCCTCCATCCTCTGCATGGATCCCCCCAAGACTGCTTTGGTTCCTGCTGAGAAACACCCCAGCAATGGGGGAAGGTGCAGGAACGTGGCCACTGAATGGATGCATGAAACCCAGCTACGGCCCATGAGCCCCGGGACACGCTGCCCTGCATGAGGGGTCCCTGCTGCTGCATCACGGAGCTCAGGTGGGTGCCCACGGGGTCCTTTGTCTGTGTGATGGCTGAGGGACGAGCACGCAGCGCTGCGCCCGGGCACAGCTCAACGGCAGCACAAAGCGGGAGGCTGGAGCTGGGCTCCTGCTTTACATCACCGCGGAGCAGCGGCAGCAGCGAGGTTCCCCCCCCCCCCCCCCCCCCCGCTTCATTTTAATTCCCTTGCAATTTCTGTCCAAAAATAACCCCAGCTCCCTCCTCCGGGAGCGCTGCGCATCACAGCCCTGGCTCCCGCGCCCCTCCGCAGTAGCCTGACGGCTGCTGGAGGAAGCCATTATCTGATGGCACATCGCAGCCTGGCTTGAAGGCACGTTCCGAGGGCACAGGGTTGTTGTGCTGTTCGTGCAGGGATGGATGGGAGGCTCCAGGTTTCCTCAGCTGGGCAGCAGCAAGGATATTGCCCTGGGTGGGTTGTGCGCCCCGTCCCTCCCCAGTGGCCACTGCCCCTGCCAGGGAAACGTGGGGCTCTGCAGGCATGGGGCAATGGTGTTTCATAGAATCACAGAATGGTTTGGGTTGGGTTGGGAAGGACCTTAAAGCTCCTCCAGTTCCAACGGGCCACGGGCAGGGACACCTTCCACTAGAGCAGCTTGCTCCAAGCTGGCCTTGGACACTGGATCTAACTGGGATGTCCCCATGACCCTGCTCCTTGGCAGTGCAGCAGCGCAGGAAGCAACCGCTGTGGAGCCATATGGAGGTGGGCAAGGCAGCCCCCCATGTTCTCCCCGTGGTTATGGGGAGCCACCCTGCCCCAGCCAGCACAGAGGTGATGCCTATGGGTCATTGCTGTGGGGCCGGATGGGTCCCCGTGGCCCCCCGCCCCATAGGGCTCGCCCAAACCTTCTGCACATCCTCTGTGGTGTGGCCAGGGGTCTCCAGTGGGGTCCCAGTGCCTTGGGCAGGACCCAGATCCCAACCACCCCAAGAGGCAGTGCTGGGGCTGGGCTGGTGCAGGCGGAGGATGGGGTTGGGGGGAGCTGGTGCTGGCTCCCATGGGGTGTCCCATGGAGGAGGGATGTCCCCAGTGCTGAGCCTCAGCCCCTTCCCAGCCAGCCTCAGACAAACGCATCCCATGGGAGCAGGGGGACACTACGGGGCCGCACCAGGGCAGGATACAGCTCCCTCTGTGCATCAACGGGACCCTGCCTGTGGCCCAGGGCTCTGCAAACTGGTTCCCCACATTCAAACCACAGAACAGTTTACACCGAGGTTACGCTGAACGCTCGAGCTCCCCACGGAAGCACTTCATCATGTTCAAAAATATTTAATCCCAGCAATTTTCACATTGTTCTTATAAAAACAGACCTGTATGAAGGGAAATGAAATGCTTCGTACATTTTTGGCACGTTTTTTCTTTTTTTTTCCTTTTTTTTTTTTTTAACCTTTACAAATTACAAACACACATTCATTGTTTTTAAAGGAAAAAACCACCCCTCAGTCTCAGCTGTACACTGCAGAGATGCACGAACCACCCCGGAACTAAACCAGCCTCCCGTGGTTGCAATTGCTGTTCTACAGGGGCAAAGGAGAGGCACCGGCAGCCCAGGACACGGTGGTGGCTTCGCTGCCCTCCCCAGGGCCTGGCTATGGAGGTTGGTGGCATGGGGGGCCTGGGGAGGAGGTGGCCCTTAGGGGTCCACAGGGATGGGAGGCAGCCCTGTGGTGCCTGGCTCTGGCAGGGGTGAAGGCATTGGGAGAGTGCAGGGGGTGCTGAGGCTCCGACTGGGGCTTGTCTGTGGTGGGACCTGCTTTGAGGGGCTGATCCCTGCCTGTCCTGCTCCCCACGGGCTGGTCTGTGCCAGAGCCAGGCACTGCCTGCCCTTCCTGCCCCAATAACCTCCATTTCCATCCCCTCTCCATTGCCTGTCCCACCATGAGCCCCAGCATGGGGGCTTCAGGTGGGAGCTACAGAGCCCTGGGTGGGCTGCACTGCCTTGGTGCCCGCCCGGCACCACCACCTGCACGCTGGGGACCCCCCTGTAGCCCATCCTGCTTACCCTGAGATGCTACCGAGGGGTAAGGGGAGACCGCTGGGTTCTCATGGCAAGGGTCATGGCGAGCGTGGCTGAAGAGGCACAGGCTGCAGAGCTCCCCTTCACTGTGTGAGCTCCCCATGGCTCCGGGCTGCTGGGCTCACTGCTTAGTGCCTCTCCGTAGGGCTGGGACTCCCGGCCCGCCGCCTCTCCGGCATCCAAAGCGAAGCAGGGAAAGCAAAGCGAGACGTACGGAGTGCGTGCCAGGCCACCCCTGTGCCGGCCGGCAGCGGTCCTGAGCCCCGCTCTGCTCCCACAGCCAGGACGGTCCCCGTGCTGCTGGCACACAACCCACTGCGGCCCCTGCTCGGGCAGAGGGGAGCTGGGAGCCGCGGGGTGGGGAGGGCTGCGGGACCCCGTGGCAAACCTGGGCTCCCTGCAGTGGGCTGCGGGCTCCTGCGATGGAGACGGGTTTAATTCTGACACCAGAACCGCGATAACCCCGCTCTGTGTGTGTGTGAACAGAGCCAGGGGATGTGTCCCCGCGCTGGGGGACGCGGTGGGAGCCCCTCACACTGCCCTGGCCTCGCTGGACCCAGCCCTGCCCCGCTGCTGCCTGCGCCCGGGCTCTGCAGCACACCTACCCCAGCTTAAATAGAATAAATACAGTGAAGAAAACAGTAAAATCTTCCAGAAAGAGGCAAAAGGAAAGACAACAGCAGGTCCAGGGGTCCAACCAAACTCCACGTGGGCTCTGGATTAGTTACTGAGGAAGGTCTATGAGAGCACAGTAAGTTCGCAGCCAGAGACTCTTACCACTGTCCTTATATCGAAACTTCGTATTCTCTTGTTTCCTGGAGGGAAGGAAAAGCCAGGTGAAGGAGCAGCTGCTTCTCAGGATAATCCCACCATTCCCAGATGGAAAGAGAGGCCCTGAGTGTTATTCTGCTCCTGGGGAAGCGATGCCTTCCCTACCCGGACCCTGCCACCCACCCCGCCACGGGGAGCAACAGGGATGGAGCCTCCCGTCACTCCAAGCACCCTGCTCACCCGGCCCAGCACATGGCTCCCATCAGGGTGGTGCTGGGAGCAGCGGGCACAGCAGCACTCACCCCTGTCTCATAGATGGGGTTGTCGAACTCCGTTTCTACCGTGATCTGGCTGTAGGGGTGGGAGTACATGAGGGGCAGGCGGAGGCTGGAGTAGTACCGACACCTGCGGGAGAGCTGGAGTCACTGGGCTGCACAGAACGGAGCACAGACAGCCCCGGCCTCCCACATCCCGGCTCAGTGCCCTGCTCCTCGGAACCATTCCCAGGACTCATGGCAGGGGTTGGACTCGATGAGCTATGAAGGTCCCTTCCAACCCAAACCACTCTGGGATGTTGAGCAAGCCCCAGGCATGTCCCCACGTCCTTCACCACCAACTGCACTCGTCACCTTGTGAGATAGATGTAGGCTCCTCCCAGCAGCAAGGAGATGATCAGCACCGGGATGAATATGGCTAAGGCCATGTTTCCTCCCTCCAGCGATGTCTCTGCAGCAGCTTCTGCTACTAAAAGGGCAAGATCAGGCTGGCATTTGCAAACACCCTGCAACCCCTCTGCTGCTCCCCTCCCTCCTCCCGGCTCCACGCAGGCTCTGGCTGAGGGCCCTGCACAGGGCTTATCCACCGGATGCATTTCACTCACCTTCCAGAGCGTGTTCAAAGCTGTCTTGATTCACTAGAAGAGAAATGGAGAGTTACTGGTACGTAACTGGGTTTGACCGGGTGCTTGCTGCATGGGAACCCCAGCCCCAAGGTTTCTCTGCCCCATTTGGTCCCAAGCCATGTTGCAAACCTGCAGGTTTCAATCAGTTCTAGGTTCTTGTAAGCACAGGCAGGGGACTGAGGGGCTGTGCAAGCGAGATGCCAGCCAAACGTACCCACAGAGCCCTGCTGCCAGGGCTTCTTAAGCTGTAATTAGGAACAATCCATCCCTGAAGTGTGGTGGCAATAGGAGGATCCTCCTGTGTCCCAAAAGGGCACTAAAACCCAGCCCTTACTTAGAGGGTTTCCTGGGCTTGAGCTCTCCCATACTGGTGGGTACCCAAGGAGAGCATCCCTGCTGAGATGAGCAAACACCTATGGGAAGCAGCAAAGCAGCGAGCAGCCAGGCCTGCCCCGCACTGCCAGCACCATGGCTGGGGGGTTCTCTCCCCCTCCCCAGGGCAGCAGAGCTGCATCATCGGATCCAGGTCTCAGATGAGTTTAGGTCCCAGCTCGAGAACCACGGGGTCTGCAGCTGGATGAAGGTCCTTGGGCTATCCCAGGCTGGGGACAGAGGCGTTGGGGTCCCCGTGGCCCACATCCACCCCGCACCGTTACCTTTGCAGATGGGCAGGGGTCCGCTCCAGTGGGACGGCTGCCCCAGGATGCATTTGATGGTCACCTCCCCCATGAGTTCAAAGCCCTCATAGCACATGAAGGTCAGCGACTCTCCTGGCAAGTAGAGGCGCTTGTAAAGTATTTGGTAGCCGTTCTCCGGCAGTCCTGGGTTATCGCAGGCCAGCGACTCCTCGGCTGAAAGGGAACGGATCCCGGGGTGAGCCCCAGGGCGTGAGCTGAGAGCACCCAAGGTCTCAGCCACCCCCCGTTAGGTAGCTCAAAGCTCTCCACCACCCCATGCAGCTGGGTGCAGGAAAAGGCTCCCTGGCCCCCCAGGCAGAGGAGCTGAGCTGCAGCAGAGCAGGAGCAGCTGCCCCAACTCACAGACACAGTGCGGGAGCCGTGAGGTCCAGATGGGCGTCCCGGTCTCACGGCTGTAGCAGGTCAGCAGGGAGCTGCCCTCCAGCACGAAGCCGGGGTTGCACGTGTACTGGATGGTGGTCCCCACCAGCAGCACCGGGTCGGAGATGAGCCGGGTCGAGTGCTCCACCTCCCCCGGGTCCGTGCAGTACATGACTGGGGAGGAGAAGCCGCCTGAGCCGCAGCCCCGGGCCCGGCAGCGGTGGCAGGGGATGCGATGGGGACGCAGCGCACGCTGCTGGGGCACTCACTCTTCTCGCAGAAGGGGGGGTCGCTGCTCCAGCTGAGGTCCCACTGGCAGGTGAGGGTGTCGCTGCCCACGATGTCGTAGCCCGGGTCGCACTGGTAGGTGATCTTGGCCCCTCTCACCAGCTCCGTGTGTGATGTGGTTTTCCAGCCGTTCTGGATCTCGGGCAGGTCGGAGCAGGAGTCGTTGCGGGACACCTCTGCAGCCAACAGGGATGCTGCTGTGGCCACTGAACGCAGCCCTCCTTGGAGCCACGGGGTGTAGACACCCAGCTCTGCCAGCGCCCGTCCCTCCCCATGCACCGCAAACGGCCCATGCAGCAGCCCCTGGGCAGCAGCAGGTAGAATCATAGACTCATAGAATGCTTTGGGTTGGAGGGGACCTTAAAGCTCCTCCAGCTCCAGCCCCTGCCACGGGCAGGGACCCCTTCCACTGGAGCAGCTTGCTCCAAGCCCCTGTGTCCAACCTGGCCTTGAGCACTGCCAGGGATGGGGCAGCCACAGCTTCTCTGGGCACCCTGTGCCAGCGCCTCAGCACCATCTTCCCAGAGCTTCTTCCCTACATCTAACCTAAATCTCTGCTCTTTCAGTTTAAGGCCATTCCCCCTTGGCCTATCACTACTGTCCCTCTCTGGGGTGAAGGGGGCTTCCCAGGCCTGACCCTAAAAGCAGGCAGGGGGTTGTGCTGGTAAAAACAAGGCAGTATCAGTGCTGGCATCAGGACGAGCACAGCAGCGTGGGCACAGCGGGTTCAGCTCTGGCTGCAGGCACAGGAGCAGTACAGGCTCTGCGGTCATGACACAGCAGGTTTGCTCCGGTGCAGGATTCCGGCCCTGCTTCCCCCCAGCCCCGTGCCCATGGCTGAGCCTGGCTGCATGTGCTGCAGTGCAGTGAGGAGGGACCTGCAGGCTCACAGGTGATCTGCATTGCAGCTTGTTCTGCAGCTCCTAACCAGAGCTAGCAGCAGCAGGAAGAAATCAGGCTTGGAAGAAGCCTGCCAGGGGAAGCCAGGCTGGGGAGAGGCAGCAGTGAGAGCAGGGGCAGCCCTGGGGAAGAAGTGCCCTTCCCAGTCCTTGTCCCTTCCTCGGGCATCAGCCTCCCTGCTCTGGCAGACACGGCTGCACCCAAGGAGGATGCAAACAGACATCTCCAAGGGCAGTCTGAGCCTCTCTGGAGCAAGGAGCTGTGAACAGCCATCTCAGGAGCCCGTCCTTCCGTGGGCTTCCGTGACCCCTCCTGGGAGGACACCCCACTGCGGTGCTTTGTGTCTGGCAGAGCTTGTGTGTGTGTGTGGGGAGTCCTGTACATCTATTACCAACAGTTCCTCTCCCTGTTCTGCTCTGCAGTTGCACAGGGCCAGACCAGGACCAAAACTGCCTCTGCCTTCTTGCCAGCCTGGAAGAGGGGACACCCCAGCAGCGACTGACCCTGAGACCTGCAGCGGGGCTGGGGGGTCTGCAGGGCTCGGTGGGACGCGCTGGAGTCACAGCGCTCCCTGCTTCACAACCCAGCGCCTGGACAGCGTGGTCCGTGTCCTGGTCCCCACCTGCGCAGCAGCGGCAGGGCCACCCCCAGCGCCCCGCTCTCCGTACCGATGTAGTTCATGATGAATCCTTGCCCCTTCCCGAAGACGAGCCCGGCCGGGTCCGAGTGGAACTGGATGGTGAGGTCGGGGCTGGAGGAGTAGAGCTTCTGCGGGCCGCTGCTGCCCACGAACTGGCCCAGGATGCGCGCGGTGAGCTCGTCCCCGTCGTAAACCGTGAGGATGTCGCTGTTGGTGAGGTTCAGGCTGCGGGGAAGGAGGAGCGGGTGAGACCGCGAGGGGACTGCCGCGAGGGGGCAGCGCCGGACCGCTGACCGGCGGCTGGGACGGGCCGGGAAGCGCCGAGCCCAGCCCCATACCCAGGGCCAGCACCGGCGGCAGCCTCCATCCACCCCTGCTGCAGCAGGGATGCGGCTGCCCCTGGAGCTGGGGGCTGGAAGCGGGGCTCCCTCCTTGCTCCCACAAAGGGCGGGTGATGGATGCACATCCCAAGGGAATCCCTGATGGCAGCAGCCCTGCTGCCGGGCTGTTCCTCCCTGGGTGCTGATAGTGAGGGCGTTATCAGCTCAGCCTCAGGGACGGGCATAGGTTCCACCCTTCCCTGCTCGCATCCTGCTCACCAGCAAGGGGAGCACCTCCAGCAGCCAGCGCTGTGCCGGGCAGCACAGGAGGGGCTGGGGCAGGATCCCCGCATCCTCCCCTTCCCATTGGCAGCACCAGGATGCTCCCAGCCCCGCAGGAATCTCCATCAGGTCAGGGGCGCTCTCTGGGCAGTCCGGGTACTGTGTGTGCACCACCTGAGGCCCAGGACGTGCTCGGTCTCTGCGGGACCCCTGCCCTGCACGTCAGCTGTGTGATTCCGCCTTGTCTGGAGGCACCTGAGCTGATCCCCAAGCCTTTTATTAAGCGCGTTCCTGGAAGGCGCCAGCTCATCCCCGTGGCGAGCTGACATTTGTAGGAAGCCTCTGCTTTCTGTCAAACACGATTTCCTCGGTGACATTTATGTCTGATGGCTTCAGAGCGCTCGGCCTCCAGCTCTGCTCAGCCCAAGCACCCACAGAGCTGGGAGAGGTGCACGGGCAGCTCCCACGTGGGATTTTACAGGGAGCTTTAAAACCGTTATGACTCTAAGCCCCCACCTGCAACATGCCCTCCCCTTGAGAACCCAGAATAGCATCGGAGGAGATTCCCTTTGCATCAGCAGCATTATCGTGCCAAGGGCTCCCAGCCTGAACATCGCATCCCATACCCCTCTGACCTCAGAATGTGCCTGCCTGTGACAGTATTCAGAAGCCATCTCAGGAGCAATTAACTACTGCAGTGGATGGTGTAACATCGCTTTGAACTCGGAGCAGCACTGGGTGCTGCCCTGGGCCTCCCCTGAGCGCATCATAGGGGATTAGGAAAGCTGCAAGGGGGAGGAACAGGGAAATGGTGCAGATCCCTGGGGCAAGGGCAGTGGGGATACTGCACTGGTGGAGCAGAGAGGTCCTGGGCTACTCACAGCTGGATGTCCAGGAACAGCCTCTTCTCCTCACCAACGTGGACCCTCCAGATGCAATCCTCCCCCTCCGCATAGGGCTCCGGCCAGTTTGGGGACAGGATCACGCCGGCCACAGCAGTCAGCTCCCCCCCGCACGTGGCTGCATGAGCGAGAGGCAGGCAGGGCTCAGCAGGGTCCAGGGGATGCTTGTCCCAGCAGCCAGCATCACCCTGCGGTGCTGGCACTGACCTCGGCACAGCGGCTCCGTGTCGTTCCAGTACGGGTCCCGCATGTTGACGCACTCGATGACGGCAGGACCCTGCTCCAGGGAGTGCCCGGGGTCGCACGTGAACTCCACCGTGGTGCCCAGGTTGTAGGTGGGGTCCGAGGTGGTGAAGTTCCCGTTCTGGATGTAGGGCTCGTAGCAGTGGCCCCGCTCGAAGGCTGGAAGAGAAGATCCCCCATGAGCCCTAGGGGTACGGAGCTGGATGGGGGAGCGCTGCCTTCCCCTGCCCCTCACAGCCTCAGCTCTGGGGTTTGCTCAGTGAGCCCTGGGCTCATCCCCAGCTACAAACCCTTCATCCCACCACGCACGGATGGCCTTTCGCACAGCGAATTTTACAGGCAATTAGGATTAACAACAGCTTATCTGTCCTGAGCCGCACGGGCTTAACCAAACCCCACTTCCACTGTGTACCAGCACCAGTAACGCGCTGCTGTGTCACCGCTTGCTGCGTTTGCTGAGCTGGGATCGCTGCGGGTACCAAGCTCATCACCTTCGAAGCGTATGTTGAAAGCCGTGGCAGCTGCGGGCTCCTCGGCCAGGAAGTCGATCCTGATGGAGGAGCCGTCGCTGATCACCCCCTCGAAGGGCACGCTGTCGGCACGCAGCGAGTCGTAGAGGACCGCGGACTGGTTCGTGTCCCCGCTGTACACCACCATCCTGCACCGGGGGACACGGCACGTTACATGGCAGAAGCGGCCCTGCGCTCCCCTCCCGGAGCACAGCAGTGGAAAGGGATCATGCAAACGAATGATCAGCAGCCAGATAAGTCTCTTTTACTGTGCCATAAACAGGGGCTTTATTCTTTCATTTTACTACAAGCCATAAAGCTGCTTTATTGCCTGTTACCAGACTGAATGCTAATGCTCTTTAAACACAAGGATCAGCACCATAAGCGTGTTCTTTGTGTTACAGGTGCTGTAGCGTGGGGCTTAGAGCTTCTTGCACCGTGTGGCTGAGCAGTGGGTGTTTGGGGAGAGGAAAGGTGCGGTGTGACACAGCACACAGCACACGGCATCACCCTGCAGCCAGCAGGATCAGACCTGCAACATCTCCTGGCTCAAAGCACAGGATACAGGGGCTGGGGCTCCGTGGCTGCTTCTTGCAGCTCTTTCTGCCCAAGACCTGTTGTGCCTCCTGAGTGCATGAACACATAGATCATGAACCTCCCTTTCTCTGCCCCAACCCCATCATCCTCTGCTGACAGCCTCCTCCATGCTGCACCCTGAACTTGGGTCAGTGCCGCCCCACAGCATCGCAGGTCTCATCCTGCAGACCAGGCACCAGGAGGTGTGACCGGGCAGGGGCTGAGACCGGTTTGGAGCTTCCAGGTTTTGGTGTATTCAGGTCCCAGCAAAGCTCCCTGCTCCTCACCCCGGGCAGAGCAGAGCTCCAGCATTCCCATGGGAAACAGGGTCCCCACAGACCTGGCACTGGGCTTACGAGCAGCTCCAGCAGGGCCTTACCTGTCCCTCTCTGTCAGCAGCAGCTTCTCAAAGTGGAGGTGCAGCTTCTGGCCCGGGGGGGCCCTGATGGCCCACACGCAGTACATGCTGCTCGACTGGTTCCCAGTGTAGCTGGGCGAGAGGACGCGGCCGATGGTGGCGTTCCGGACCGTCCCGCCGCAGGGCGCTGCCAACACAGAGCGCTGCGTTCAACTCACGGCATGGAGGAAACAGCCCTCCTTTTCCCCTTGGGGACCCCGGTTTTCCCCAGCACCGAGGCTGATGGGGCACGTACCTGAGCAGATGGGCTCCGGGCTGCTCCAGTGCGGCCTCGACGCGTTGATGCACGTCAGCACCCTGGGACCCTGCAGCTCGTAGCCCAGGTGGCAGTGGAAATGAGCAACTCCCCCCGAGTGCAAATCCATCACGGTGACGTCTCCGAAGTCGGGCCTCCGTGGGAAGTTGCAGCTCAGCATAAACACTGCAACGAGCACACACATTCCGGGGCTCGGGGCTGTCGCAGTCAGGGGGGGACAGTGACAGCCCTCGCTGCGGGTGCCGGCTGCGGAGCACCGGCAAACGGCCACGCTGCTGCTTCTCAACCTGTTACTGCTTTTGCCCAGACCCAGTTTCTATTTTAGAGAGAATTCTCTTGAACTCATCTATTTTTTTATAGCTCTTTAAGGAAAAAATAGACCCGCAGGCTGAGCTGTGCAGGAGGAGCTGCTGCACGGGGACAGAGACGGGGCAGGGAGGGTGTGAGGAGCTCAGCCAGTGCTGGGCTCTGGGACATCGGTGTGTGTTGTACCTCTGCTCTGGTCACAACAAGGGCTCTTCCACCCGCGCCAGTGATGCTCTGAGCGTGGGCACGCAGTGATACAGGAGCCGTACCGCTGCAGGCTGAGCCCCACGGCACCGACACCCCATCCCTCCCCTTCTCACGCACCCCTGGCACTGAGGCACCCACCCTGGTAGTGGAGCTGGAAGGTCCCCACCAGCTCGTCCTGGAAGGTGCGGAAGTAGACGGAGATGGTGTTGGTGGGGCTGCGGATCACCTGGCCCTCCACCAGCAGCGTCTGGTTGGCCAGGACCACGAGGGCATTGCCGTCCACGCCGCGGATGGAGAGCACCTCCCCGTCCGACAGGTTCACGCTCTTCACCTGGGAGGGAGCAGAGACCCGTGAGCTGTGGGGTGAAGGTGGGGGTCCCATCCCAGCCATGAGCACACAGAGCATGGGGATCATCACGGACAGGAGCTGCTTGTTCAGTGGTGATGGAGCTGTCTGTGCACAGCATGAGCCCAAAGGAACCCTATAACTGCTGACCTCTTCCCTTGGGACTGCGGGCACAGGGAGCTGGAGCTGCACACTTGAGGTGTGTTCTGAAGCTGGATGCTTCTGTGCAGCACAAGGTGAGTGCATCTGCTTCCCTATTGAAACTGGCTGTCTGAGCAGGCAAGGAGAGTTAGACAGGAGGAACGTGAAGGGATAGCATGAGTCAGGGTATGTGGGATCCCAATTCCACTGCATCTGCCCTGGAAGCAGCCCTGCACCTCGAGGCACCATAGCATGAAGCATGGAGCAGGCTCACTGGTCCCAGCGGGGCAGGTCTGCAACCAAACCAGGGTACATTTGTATGTAGGGCTCGGTGCTCACCAGGGATCCTCCCCAGGATCCCTCCTCCGCACCGGGGAGTCACAGCAAATGTGCCTAATGAGTGGTCCCAAAAGGCTTTAATTATTATTTGGAAATAGCTGAAAAGTAACCTCACATTTGCATTTCACGTCCATTTAGCTTAATAAATGGGCTCATATTTCAGCAGAAAGATGCTCATCAGATCATTTGTTTCCTTAAGTGTGCGAGGACCGGGGCTCTATATTTAGCTCACACCACAGCCTTAGCCCGTGATTGCGAGCGCTCCCGATCATGTTGTGACTAGGAGGATTTGCTGCTGTTGTCACAACTGTGCCTGCCTCCGGTGCACGAGGTGGGGATGTGCCTGGCTCCAAGGGCCACCAGCAGCACTTGGCATCCTCTGACCTGCTGGAATAAGGGAGATTTCCACTAGAGGAACAACCCCAACCCCACTGAGTAACTCCCTGCCTGCCCCAGAGATCCACAAGCCCTGGAAAGGCTGAGGCTGGGTCAGAGCCTGGCTGGGCTCACCCCAGAGCATCCTTTTAACTCAGGAGAAACAGATCTTGCCTCATTTTGCAACAGGATGCTGGGGCTCTGCAGAGCCTCTGGTCCTCGCTGCAGGGCAGAGCAGGCCTCAGTCCTCATGGGCACTGCGCAGTGCATCGGCAGCACAAGCCAAGTGCATCCCCAGACCCCAACCTGCCCCCGGGTCCTTTCTTCTTCTCCAGGTTTTGTCCTGGAAACTGCCCCCCAGCACGCTGTGCACACCCTGAGCCTGCTGCCGGGGCTCAGGTCTGATTATTTATAACTGGAACGAATTGTGTTATCAGGGATGAATTATTTGGAGCATGGTATGCAGGGATGCTAAAGCGAACGGCTCCCCCCGGCTCCCACTGGGGCAGAGCTTTGCTTCCTGAGCTGGGTCTGAATCACCGCGAAGACATTTCCAGGGTGTTTCTAAAACACATTTTGCTCTGCAATCACTCAAAGACAAACCTGCTCCCCACCAGCTTCCTCTGATGGACAACATCGCACACACTATCCAGCACCGAATCGCTCTGGGAAACCGGAAAGAGGAACGCTCAGGAGAGCTCTCGAGCAGCTCAGTGCCACCAAGATGCTCTTTCCCCCCACGCCCTGCTGCTGGGAAAGGGGTTCAAGGAGCGGCTCCAGCCTGCAGGGCTCTGCGGAAGAGACGGAGCTGGTGAGTGCTGCAGCATCTCGCAGCCCTTTGCAGGGCGCCGTGTGCTGAGGACATGGCTCAGCTGCACCAGCAGCCTCCTCCTCCTGCAAGCCCGTGCTCGGGGGAGCCTGGAGCAGGGGTGTCGCTGCACAGCTCCGGTGCCAGGCGGGCAGGATCCTCCGGGGACCGGGAGCGAGTGGCGGGTACAGGCGAGGCAGTGGCCCCGCGCCAGGGACCGGCAGCGCTGCGAGAGGGACCATATGTGCGAGTCCCTGCCAGGGGCTGGCCAGGACGAGTTCCTGCTTTGATCAAAGCCTGCACCAGTGTCAGCGCCTAAAGAGCCTGTTGGGAAGACAGGAGGGATCCTTCGCTCCGGCTGCCAGCCCTGCTCACCCACGACAGATCTCCCGAGGGAAACTCTATCTCCTGCCAAGAAGATTCAAGGGGTAGAGCCATAAATACAGTTTAACAGCCCTGGCAGGGCCGTGCAGGGCACCCGCCTGGCGTGGGGACGCGGCTCTGGCCGCGATGCTGCCGGCAGAGAGCGCAGCAGGGACCCTGAGCACTACACAGCCCCACACAGGTCCTTTTGCTGTGTTCTCCCCCTTCTCCCCAGCCCTGGCTGAGGGGCTGGATGCTGCAAGGAGCTGGGATGCTGCTGGGTGCTGGGATGCTGCTGGGGGCTGGCTGCCCCCCCCCTCACCAGTCGCAGCTTGGGCAGGGACACCTCCAGGTTCAGCTCCCTTGTTTGCTGGTCTTTCCTGCTCTTCTTGTAGGCTTTGGGGAGCAGCTGGGTACAGGTCTTACAGCAAAGCCTGTTTGTGACAGTGAGAAAAGCCCCAGAGCTTCTGCACCAGCCCCACTGGTCAGGGGTGATGTCCAGGGTGGGCTTGCATGGAAAGATGGACCGAGTTCCTGCGCCATGCTGCCTGCCTCCTCCATCAGCACGTATCCTGTGTGAACATCCTCAGAGAGAGGGGATAAATCTGTTGCTGTGCTTGCCATGAATGCTATTCCTAGCTTCACTGGGACATAAATCACGTCACTGCTGCTGCCTAAATGGTTAAAAGCCTTCTGCAGAGCTCACTGCCTGCAGCGAGGGTCAGGCACTGCTGATGCTGTCACACAGGAGGACATCAGCCCGCATCCATGGGCCTGGCACCCCCCTGCCCTCTGATGAATAGGGCAGGATGCAGGCATCCAGGGTGCTCAGCACCCTTCTCCAGCTCCCACAGCACGCATTCAGGACAGGGTGCTGAGCAGCTCCTGGTGAGGTTGTGCTCAGCCAGCACAGCCCCGCTGCTGTGATTTAATTTGCTTGCAATGCTTAGAAGCATCAGCAAAGTGAGATGCAAAGCTTGGGGGGTGGAGAGGCTAATTTTATGCTCCATTAAAATCTCAGCTTACAACAGAGTGAGGTCAGGAGCGGTGTCACCTGATGGATTATGGACAGAGGAGAGCTTACAGCAGAGCAGCCCATCCTCGGCACCCTGCGGGGCTGGGGCACAAGTTACTGCTGTGGAAAGGAGCCCAGCACGACCCAGTCCCAGGTCAGGCTCTCACCAGGGCTCGATTCCACACTGCAGCCCTGCCCGGAGGTCAGCCCCTTGCATGTGCGCACCAGGGGATGGCAGGGACTGGCTCACTGGAGCTGCTACTGCTTTTAATGCACGTTCTTAATTACACAGATTAAAAGTGAATGGATTTTAATTGGATGCAAATGGTGACATGGGGAAAGCTCAAGAAGAAGAAAGGATTGTGCACCAGAGCATGGAGACCGGGGCCTGGTTTGACGTGGAGATCATATGAAAAGCATCAAGACCCCTGTCCTGCTCCAATCCCCATCAGGCTGTGGGATGCAGCATTTTGGAGACCGCTGTGCCTGGACCAGACCCCTGGCTCTGATGGGACTGCACAGCACAAGTGCAGCGGCAGGCCTGGCATGCAGCATGCCCACTAATGCATGCTCCCACGTGTACAGCTCACATTGACAGACACCTTCCTGCAGACACAGCCCTGGCTCTCTGCTGCAGCTGCACACTTGCTGCTGTGGGGTGTGCTACAGAATGCCTTGGCCCTGTGGTCTTTATCCTGCAATGGGCAGGGACATGGCCCTGCTTTGCTGTGGATTGGTGCTGTGCTGGAGACAGCACTGCTGCTTCACGCCTTCCCATGAAGGTGCTTTGCAAATTGCTTGCCATGCTCCTTGTTCAATTAACCACATGGCATGTTAATGCTTTGATCCTAGCTCATGTTCAGGATGTACCAGTTACCGCTTTATTACACCAAGAAAAACCTATTTTCCTCCCTGGGAAAGGGTGGTTTTAGCCGGTGCCCATGGCCATGGTGCTGTGCATCCTGTGCTGCTGTGGAACAGGGCCTCGGGCCATGGTGATTCCTGCACCGACGCGCTTCTCACCTGCAGCTCGACGCCGTAGCCGGTGTAGACGGTGACGTTGTAGGTGCACTCCAGGTAGCTGTGCTGGGGCAGTGGTGGGTAGTCTGTGGAGTCGATGTAGCCCTCGGGGTCGTGGAAGCTCATGCTGCAGAGGACTGGGGGGAATGTGAATCAGGGATTGCGCTGGGGAATGGCTCACCCAGCAGCTCCGTCCTGCACCCAAACCCCAGCACCCAGATCCCTGCTCCAGCACCGGCACCGGCACCACCTCAGTGCAGTCCCACAAACCCGGGGAATGCTGCTGATGCCACACACAGGGATGCTCCCTGTTCACCCCTGGAACCCCTGCCCTGACCCCCATCCCCATGCAGGCAGCACAGCTTACCCGGGGTGGGCTCTGTGGTGATGACGGTGGTGGTGATGATGGTGGATGTGGTGGTTTCTTGGCTCTCCTCTGCCGTGTGCACCTCTGTCTCTGAGCTCTCAGTCTGGTTACCAGCATCCCGGGTGGGAGCCGCGGTGGGAGCGCTGCCGGCATCACCGGCGCTGTCAGTGAGGTGCCACGGTGCTGTCGGTGGCAGGGTGGACGGGGAGATCTGCAGCACAGGGCGGCTGGTGGTGGCCCGGCCCCCCCAGGGCAGCTCGGTGGGGCCCTGCTCGGTGTCCCCATCCCCGGCTGCTGCCCGCGGCTCCTGGGAGGCAGTGGGGAGCCTGGGGTGCATGGGGCTGGCCGGGGAGGCAGCCCGGGGGGACCCCGGCGGGGCAGCCTTGGGCCTCGGGTGCTTCCTCGCTGCATTTGGGTGCTTCGGAGTGGGCGGCTTTTTCTTAACAGGGAACGTCTGTTTCACAGCAGCATCCGGGGCCGTGGTGGGCGCTGGCAGCGCGGGGCCCTGCACCAGCGGCGCCGGCTCCTCCGCTGCCGGCTCGGTGCCGTCCTCCAGGGCCGGCAGCAGGTTGAGGGCAGTGGCGTGTCCCAGCTCCCTGGCTCCGGCTGAACCCATGGCGTGTCCCTGCTCCCCGGCTCCATGGGCTGTCTTCTCCCCCAGCTCATCCGCGGCGAGAGGGTCCGGGCTGGCAGGGACCAGCGCTGCTCCCGAGCCGCTGTCTGCAAAATACATGGGGGAAAAGTGGGATTTGGGCAATTCCAGGTATGGAATTCTAACTCGGAATCAGCCCCCCGGGAGCTGCGGCTGATTGAGCCCTGGGGCTCTCCCAAATGGGCGTATTATGGGAGCACAGTAATGAGCCTGCACTGATTCCCTGGAAGCTGGGTTTCTGCTGGAACTCGGTGGCCTCCTCTCACTGCTTCAGAGCTGCTCTGTGATCTCTTTATGCAGAGGTCACTTGCTCGGGGAGGTTCACTCACTCCTGCTGAGTTTGTTGCTGTGGCTCGGTCTCTATGAAAAGCTTTTATTTCTGCGTTTGCCATCAGCAAATGTGGCCATTTCAAAGCACCAGCTCAGGACGCAGCCCTGTCCTGCTGCCCGGTGCGGAGCAGCCACCGCTTAACAGCAAAGCACCTCCCGCTTCGGCAAAGCCTCTCCTTGGGCTGCCGCTGACCTTTTGTGCCAGGCAAAGCAAGGCGTGGGGAAGAAAGAGCAATCAAAGGCACCGCCGCCGCGTCGCTGGGAGCTTAATTGCGTGAAGCACAGATTTATTCCCCACCAGTGGGGCTGGCGGGGCTGCGGTCGCGGTGTAAAATAAACTGTGAGCAGGGCTGCGGCTGCAGGGAGCTCCAAGAGGCTCCGAGTCAACGTTTTCCATGGAAACAGCAGTTGCCAGGGAAGGAGCGAAACGCTCGGCAATTAAGGACCGTAATTCCAGCCCCCTCAGCTCCACAGGGAGGGCTTGGAGTCCCCACATTGCAGGTCTGTGTCCTCGGGGAGGGTAGGAGCCTGGATGGGTATTGGGGGGGGTCATAGAATCATAGGATAATACAATCCCAGACTGGTTTGGGTTGAAGGGACCTTAAAGCTCCTCCAGCCCAAACCCCTGCCACGGGCAGGGACCCCTTCCACTAGAGCAGCTTGCTCCAAGCCCCTGTGTCCAACCTGGCCTTGAGTCACAGGTACTGCAAACAAAGGCCCTACACTTGAGTGAAATGTAACTCGATTGTTTTGCATTTCAGACTCTGGACCAGAATGGAAAGGGAGAACAGAGCCTTGGGATGGAGAACCTGAAACACAGGGACCCTGCTGTGGGCGCAGCTCCCCGCTGTCCCGCCACCGTTCACATCACCCTGTGATTTTTGCGCCTTTCAACTTCTGCTGCCTTAGCTCTGCCTGAGTGCTGATCCTGCAGCCTTGGGGTGCTGCTTCCTGCAGAGCTGCGCTCTCACTGGACCGGGTTTGTAAGCACAGTGCCCAGCTCTGCATCGTCTGGATGTGCAGCATCAGGTGCATCACAGGACCCAGGCTCATACACCATAAGGTGACAGTGCTCACCCAGGGACCCTGGCACTGTGACCTCCATGTGTGCCAGGGACAAAAGAGACCCACAGTGGCCCTTGAATGTGCCGGGGTCCCTGTCCTTTACAGCCAAGCAGCTATCCTTGCTGCAGTTGTCCCGGGGAGCCCCTGCACATGATGCTGTTGGGACACCAGGGCTGCGCTGCCCCGAGGCACCGTGTCCTGCTGCCAGCCACAGACCCACAGGAGAACCCATCCCGGATACCAGCCTCTCCCAGCATGTTACCCATGACTTAAAACATTAATTCTTTAATTAGCCTTGGTTTGGTAAATTCATTAACTGATTCCCTCAGCACATTAGGAGGCATTTCACACACATCGTCTGCAACCACTGCCTTGTGCTGGCTCTGAATAATCTCCCCTGGCTCCCTGGGGAGGTTGGTGCTTCTGTGTCCCCACAGAGGCTGCTGCTGGGGCAGCCCAGCAGCTCCTGCACCTTCCACTCGTGTCTGAGTGTGTCTGCTTCCCTCTTCATGCTGCTCCTTGGCTAAGCCTGGCCTCCATGGGCATCCTGCTGTGGGCTGATGGGTCCCCAGGGCAGCGCCAGCATCAGCTCTCCATCCCTGAGAGCAGGGTTCTTCTGTGCTTTAGGCTTCCTTTCCCAGCCTGAGCCTGGAATGGGCTCTGCCACTGCTGCTGGCCTCCTCCAAACCACTGGTTTTGGTGCTCTGAAGCAAAACGGTTTCTCCATAGGGGAGAAGATGGGGCTGTCAGACAAGGAGGAGGTGGCACAGCCCCGGGAGATGAGAGGAGGGTGGGACACGGTGGGACACAGGCTCACGGTGGGACAGGCAGGAACCCAGGGCACTAAAGCCGGTGTGTTACCAGGAACAGGGAACCAGCATCCCCAGGTTATTTCTCATGTGAACTCTAATTCTTTATGGATGTTGCCGTTAAACCATATTTTATGCTTGCAGAAAGTTGACTAATTTCTTATTAGATCCTTTGCCAGGATGCATTTAAATGATTCTGTCCTTAACAAAGCATGAAATAAAACACTCTGTGTAGCGACTCTCTAATGAGATACTTAACATGCTTTAGTTTGTAAAGGGCAAATGTGTATTTCAGGGAAGCTTAGAACAGCGTAGCCAGGCTGGAGTGGGGTGGTAGAGGCGGAGCGGGGGGGCTGGCATCGAGGATTAATAAGGGCATATTGCACGTTACCAGAAAGAGGAGCGATGAATGATCTGCGCTCCAGATTGCATCGCCACCCCCGAGCCAGGGCTGCGCTCCAGCGTGTCCCCACGGCAGGCACCGCCAGCCCTGCTGCTGCATCCGGGTGCTGCCATCCCTGATGCCACCCCTGGTGCCTCCGTGCTGCCTCATGGGCCCCTCCACGGGCATGCAGAGCCCATGACGGGGCTGTCACTGACCTCAGAGGTGGATTCCCCTGCCCATAGCATCCCCAGGTGAGCAGGGCTTTAGGGAAAGCAGAGAGCGGGAGAAGCAGAACCAAGTATTCTCATCCTTAAGGGAGGTTCCATAATGGCGTTAGGATAAGGGTGGGCTTTGGTAAGATGCTTTCCATACTGATATGAATGCAAAGAGCACCTCCAAGGACTATGGGTCACGTCTGACCTTGCTCTCATCTGCTAAACCAGCTCTGGAGGAAGTGAATGCTATCAAGATGTCCAAGGGGTTTATCTTGTATCACGATCAGGAGCACTCTGCAGGCGGTTTGGGGCTGGAAAGGCTCCTCTAAACCCATGAAAGCCTCCACGGCCCCTGGGCACAGCACTGGGCACCGAGCTCTGCGCCCCGGCATTGGCACGAGCGGCTGCTCCTGCAGGACAGGACAGAAACGTCCGGGATGGTGTGGAGCACAAGTGACCTTAATAGGAAATGACAGCTCCTCTTCAGGTCTATTCTGGGATCTGCCTGGATACCGGCGTGCAAACAGCGCGGAAGGAAGCTCAGCTCGGGGAGGACACCTCCAACCAGCTCGCACTCCCCCACGCTTTATACTTAGCGCCGTCGGAAGCGCTCGCTCCTCTGCAGGGTGCGGGTGGGAGCGGGCGGCTGCTGCCGGGCTCCCAGCGGGAGCGCAGCCCCGATCCATGGGGACAGGGCGATGGCAGGGCCCGCAGGGGCAGCGCGGGGGGCAGCACTGAGCAGGGCACCAGCCACCTTGCAGCGCCGACAGCTGCCCACGGAGGGGCCCTGGCACCAAAAGCATCCTTAAATATCCAGATATGAACACGAACGGCACTTTGGAACTTGCCGTCGGAGTGAGAAAAACTAACCAGCTCACCAGTCCTTGCAGTCCTCCTGCCCACACAAAGAACACCTGCTTCTTCTGACAATACTTTGTCAGGTGCAAACAGCCTTTTCTTTCTGCCATCCAGGATAGTTTTCTCTTGCTCTTTGGAAGAAGTTTGTGTTCCTGCTATTCAGAATTAAATCTGAGTAAATTCTGATCATCATACTAGTTTGTTTCCCATGATCTGTGAGCACACAGGGGCAGATTTCAGGTTGTGGCCTGGAATTTGCCATGAGCAGCCCCGGAGCACACCAAGTCCCCACATCCCTTCCGTGGGTGACGCTGCGCAACCACATCACTTCCATGAGAGGCTCAGCACTGGGCCCCGTGGTGCAGGGATCCACCTGCCCATGAATTCCCAATCCCCAGATCTCCACCCCTATAAGAACCGGTGCCCGGGGCACCCCCTTCCCAGCTGGGGAGACAGGACTGCATCCCAGCAACTTGTGCTGCTCCAGAGGTGCCGAGGCTGGAGAGAGCCGGGCAAATCTGATTGCTGCCGGTATCGCAGCCAGAGGGGCTTAGAGGCATTAGGGAACTGCAAATGCTTGATAAAAGGATGATGAAATAATCATAACACGCTCATTTTGCTGCTGTGCTCCTGAAAGAGCTAAACCGTGAGTAGCTGTATCGCCAGGTTCCCATTACTAACAGCGATGCTATCGCTGCCGTGCACGTTCCCGGCTGCCCGAGGACGGTGGCTTGATTGCTCGAGCTCAGTAGTCACTGTCCGGAAGGTTTCAGTGATCTGATTATAGCAGAAGCCCTGAGAAGCTTATAGAGATGCTATTAATGGTGGTGTTCAGCCCCTGTGCTCTGCTGTGTCATGGGCTTAGGAGGATTGAAGCTGTGCTGGGACTGGTTAATCCTGCCTGGAGCTGCTTCTGCCACAGACATCTCGCCTGAACCCTCACTGTGAGCTGGGACTGATCCCGACCCCCCCAGCACCACAGCCACTGCATCCCAAAACCCTTGCTATAAGGAACAAGTCCCCTTTAAGGGGCTATGGGAGCAGCTGGCCCCACTCTGCAATAAAGCCAGGCCCAGGTAGATAAGCTCGGCTTGTCCATTGGGTTTCCCATGGGCAAGGTTGCAGCTCAGTCTGCTCTGCAGGAGCTGGGAGACTTTCCCAAAGCCAGGGGATGGTGCCGAGGAGCTGTGCTATGTGCTAGACCCTGTGCCCACCTGGGCACTGCCATGGGGATGTGCTGGCAGCAGGGATGCACTGCGGCGCCTGGACCCAGCGATGACCCTGAGGACCATGAGCCCTTGTCCAGCTGTGAGGTCAGGAGGGGCTGTATGGGGTGGGTGCCTGGGAATGGCACATGGTGCTGCCTTGGTATGGAAGCCCCTGCCCAGGGGTGCTGTCTGCAGGCA